AAGTTGATGGCGTACAGACTACGTGCTTCACCACTCCATACTTGCACTTGCCTCGGATGTGCAACGAACCAAACTTGACAATCATGGTGCTGGGCAAACCGCTTGATTTGTAAGCATTTGACTGACATACTCCGTCTTGGTTTGATTCCCAGCTTGTTGTAAGGGTCAATAACAAGCCCACAAATTCCATGTCTCATCACATCGGCCTTTGCAAGATCCAACACCCAATCCACGGAAAGAAGCTCTTCATCCTTATGTCTGATCAAGAAAAGTTATCCTGCAACCAATTTTTTAAATCCTCTTAATCCATTCGTGGGGTAGAATTTGCATAAGGCGCGTCAAAAAATGGTTGATGAATATACTTCTCTATCAGCTTCATGGCATGCTTACGCACCTTGTTTTCCATTGAGCAAAGACCAAAAGTCCACTTCTTGGATCTATTTAGATTACAAATAAGTGCATTGATCCACTCACTTTTGCTTTAATTCGGAACGCATGTAACAACAGTGAGTTCGCCAAGTACAACCTTTGTAAATCTCGTGGAGGCCTCGCCAGCCAGTTGAGGCCCCTCGCTCATTGCCCAGGCAAAGATAGTGGTGATCATCTATTTCCCTAAAAAATTGTCGAAAGTTAAACAGCCCCCAAGTAGAATATAATTCTGCACTTTTAATGAAGGTCTTTTCGAGTGTCTAGTCCTAAAGACATGAGTACCTCATTGGCATCCTTGCATTGTTTCCCAACTCATCTTCAGGCCACGTGACCCGCCAGCAACGCTCTTGTTCATCGTCATGCTTTGATGTAGCACAACTTCCCCTCCTCTCCGACCCCTTCTTCTTTGAATTTACGGCAGACTCTCATAACCGTAACCGGGGTCGGTAACGGTGGACTGCTCACGGTGACGGGGTTGAGAGCTGGGTTTGGGAACGGATGGGGTCGGGATGAGTGGGGAACATGGAGCGGGGGCTGGGAACGAGGGGGTGGGTTAATTTAGTAAAACAGTGCATCACTTTAACATTCCTATTTATATATATATATATATATATATATGTATATATATATATATAAAATAAAAATTCATGAATTTTATAAGTTTAGGGTGGAGTATTTCAAAAAAATTGTAAAAAAGAATTGTAAAATTTCACAAACTTATAATATGTATGTGTATATATAACCACAATTATTCTGAGGTTAATAAGAGAACAAATTATTTTTTGGATTTTTTTAACACAATAAGTATATGTGTATTTGTGTGTGTGTGTGTGTGTGTATATATATATATATATATATATATATAGAGTCATCATGCTATTAGGTTGTTGCAATAATTTTCTGAATATAAGTTTTGAGAACACAGTATTAATCTTATTTTTTAAACAATCTTTACTCAAAGTGTTTTTGATAATTTTAATCCCAAAATGGGTATTAAACTGGTACATTCTAATTTATTTTATCTGAAATATTTTTATAAGTACTTTGAAGTAAAATATCTCAAATTTTAATTTACTTCATATCAATAAAAATTAATTCTAATGCAAATGTATTCACAATTTATGTGCAACGGTTGGTACTTACACGAGTTATCTCTTTTGTTTCAATGATAAATAATATCATTTTTAAAAAAATATTTCAACATTTAATTCAATCAGAAAAAATGAAGAAAAATCATAAATACAACAAAAAAAACATCTCTATCACCCAACAAAAATTCTTTAGGCAATTGAGAAAGTGTTATCAATTTTATTTATTTATTTTTCCATCTTATTAATAAAATTATTGAATGAAGTGGTAGGGCTGTTGCTTTTCTTCTTATTTTTATTTCAACACATTTTTCATAACATTTTGTCTGTGATCTTGTTCACAGATACAAGGCTGCAAAGGAATAGGTACGCATTTTATAATATGATAAAATTTCCTCTTCATCCATGAAAGAATAAATAACCTCAAAATGATGAAAATAGCTTGTGTCAACACAAAATTAAAATATAAAAGATATGCTTTATTTAGAAAGTATGACAGAAATTATGAGTTACCAATGACAATAGTGATTTGTAATAACTAGATGGCATAAAGAACTAAAGAAGGTATCTAAAATATTAGTATTATCATCTTTATAAATGTATTATTAGTATTATTGTTGTTATTCATAACTTATATTCTTAGAATGAAGATGAATTATACACAAATCATAGTAAACACAAAACTTATATCATCCATTTCCACCACCTCAGCATAACTTCGCCCTCGAAATAGCTTGATTAACAGACTCCAAACATAACTTTGAATTCATGTTATTATTATCATTATTAAATATAGATTAATAGAAACATGTTCGACCAAACTCTTCACAACAATGGATGTTAATGATATTCACTCCAATTTTTCCATTATAGAGAAATAAGAATGGAGATGAATGGATTTATAAAGTTTATGCATTTCATTTCTGTATATCAAGCAAAGGCCATTGTTAAAACATAGTTTTACAATTTGATATTCTTATAATTATTATCATTATTTCGACTTTTTAAAAACTATTTAAAACCAAAAAAATTTAATTTAAAACCTTGACACAGAAAAACCTCTCTCTCTCTCTCTTTACATGTATTTATATAGACATGCATGTCAGAACCTACCAGAAGTCCATTTGGATCGTCTTGTTGAATAAAGTTCTTATGTCTCATTTTTTCTAGGCACACCAAACAATGATAAGATGCATCATATATATATATATATATATATATTCTTCCTTTAAAATAGTTTAAAATGAATTCATGCATTTTTCAAAAGATCTTGAGTATGTTCACAGATTTGTACATTACATATATTTTTAAAATTATGGTAAAAGCATTCTATGCCATTTCATATGATTCTTTCCTTTAATTATATTCTATCAGTTCTTTAGTGTTGCTATTAATATCACTATTACTGTTATTATTTTTATTGTAGTTAGGTCAACTACATCCATGCCAAAGTTCTCAAACCATCACCAAATTCTAAGCAATTTTTTTTTTTTTTTTTTTTCATTGATAAAATAAAGAATTCTCCAATGCAACCAAACACTCTTCAACATCAAATAAAATTATTTAACAAAATCTAAATGCTCCATAAAACCAAATATATCTAGTCGTCAATTTTGTAAACTACACACAAAATTTGCATCACACTATTTTTTTTTTTTGATTACAGAGCCAAACCAAATAATAAAAAATGAAAAATCTGCAACAAAGACATTCATCTGTGACTTCTATTAAAAACATGGCTTTGTTTTTTGTAAATCTAATTTCTTAAACTCACACACACACACACACACAGTAAAGGCCATTGACAAGTAACCTCCATCAAACTGAAAGTTTTGCAGAGTGAGCACGACGGTCTGGTGTGCAGCTTTCCTTGAGAGACAGCGAGTCATGGCTTCTCCGAAGGATCATTCAACAAAGCCAGAGCTGCCATGCTTCCAGACATGGCCTGCCCTTCGCATTGAACACAAGAGATCTAAGTCTGCAATCGCCACCGAAAATTCACTCTCTATGTATGAATTGCAGGAGTGGAACATACATGAACGGTAGAATTGAAGGTCATCAACTCACACAACTTTCCAACAGTCATTACCAGGAGGTTGTGAATTGATGAAGGAGCACAAAACAGGTGCAAACACCACTTGGAGCTGAAGAGAATCATCCTCGGAGTGAAGATCAGCTGTTCGAGGATACTTAGCGGTCCAAAGGTGTGGAGGGATGTGCTAATCAAGGTGCATAAATCTAGTTGAAAGGGTGAAGCAGGGACGCTTGCAGTTGTGAACTTGTGCCCATATTCTTGTTGATGCCTCACACTCACAACCGCTCGTGAAAAATTATACCACTCACAAACTTTTGTTATCGAAATACCTTCTTGAGTTTTTAACCACCATTGAAAGCATTAGCCTTGTGTCAGCTACTGATCACGGGGACTGTAAACTGTAGCATCCAAATCCGAACTTGGAGTTCCTGCTTACTGCACAACTGTTTGTGAAGTGCAACTCGTGCCTCTCGATTACATCTACACTGTGCATTGTGCGTTACGCTTTTTCATCTCCTTGTAATGGTTTTTGTATGTATCTGTTTTGTGGTCATCTTTCGTACATTCATCGTTCGTGGTCAAGATTCCTGCACCGCGTCTGTCCGCATTGGCGGCCACGATGTACACAGAGACGATGATGTTGGAGTCAGCTGCGTCTCCTTCAATCAGACTTTCTACCGATGTTGTGCTTGGATCACCGAAAGTAAAGCATTAACTAACCGCGTGCTTTTTTGAAACCTCAAATGCCTCTGGGGCCGGAGCTAGCCAGAGCAGACAAAAGAGAAATTGGTCATTGAACACATTCAATTGGAAAGGAAGTGACCCACCGTACGCAAAGGTGTGGAAGTATTGAAGCCTCAAACCATCTGCAGTGAGGTACACCATTCACCGTCGAGGTCTGACACATGAAGAGCAGCACGTCGACCTGCAACGCATGAATTACTACACCGCAGTTCATCTGTACTCATCCCCGCTCAAGGATCACGAAACCTGCATTTTCATTGAATTTTCATCTTATGATGGGACAAATGAGGAACAAATCACGGCTTATAATCCATGAGCCCAGTGATTTCGGGGAATCATTTAGTTCTGAATCCAAAGGTCTACAACACATCCAGGAATAGACTACTCAGGTTTTTATCCTGCACATAAAGCATTTCTATAATTTCCTTTCGGGATGGGTCAACTGATCAGACTCATCCATATGTTTCACTGCGTATTTGCTTTCAGAGGAGTTCGCTTACCGCTCGAGGCTTTACCTCTCAGGGTTTGTGGCCTCTACCATCTGAGTTTGGAAAATTTGAAGTACGCAAGAATAGAAGTGAAGACGTTCCACAGCATTGAACGTGGGCCTGATGGAGATTTAAGTATAATGGAGTTGCTAACCATACTTAAACCGTGAGTACTGGGAGCAGTTGTGGATAAGTGTAGATTATGACGGAACCCACTTGCACAAAGAAGTGAAATAATAAGTTATTTGTCACCAAAGTTCCAACAATGAGTTGGCAGCCCTAACTTTGAATCAGCCTTGGCAGGCAAAAATGCTAGTCAACAAAATCGGTGTTTAATGAGTAGGACCGCGGACAATCAGTCCTGGAGATATTTCTACAGCGAATCGCTACATGACGCAGCGTCAATTCAGCTTACACATTTTACAGAATTACTTTATAACTAAATAAACAGGGAGGCTTTCCATCCTCACCTTAATCTGAAACCTATGATCGCTAGTAATATCGCACAATTGGGATTACCTCATGCCAGCGGGCCTCCAAGACGACATTGCCGTGCAGCTTCGCTTTGTGATCCCAAGGATTTGCGCGGCACTTGTTACGTGAAGCTCAAAAAATAGAGTTCACGAAAAATCTACGCTCTCATGAGACTCATGGCCATGGGATAACTACCCAAAACTCTTAAGAAAGTGGCGAACTCTTGCAAGTTGCTCAGAGCATTCTGAGCGCGAACATCAGCCATGGATGCCTCGAAGTCGATGTAAAACAGGTAATCGAAGTACTTGGCAGTGCCATTGTTGCTATCGTCGACGACCCGCAGGGGTCTCTTCCGCTGAGGTCGGCTCTCGATTTTTGTGAGGTTGATATCCCTGAGTGCGAAAGCGGAGAGCGCCTTGAATAGGACGCCGGGTCCTTCCTGCAGGGTGAAAACGATACTGGTCTTGAATTTTCGGTCGAGGCTGGGAATAATGGGCTCTCTTGCGAGCATAAGAAAGCGGGTGACATTGTCCAAATCGTCTTGAATACCATCCATCAGAATTTCGAGCCCATAAATCTCAGCAGCGCGAGCACTAGCAACGGCTCCCGTGTCCCGAAGGTTGTGAGCGGCAATGAACTGCGCAGCCCCGGCTGTGTCGTCCACGGCCTCTCGTGCGACGCCCAATTTGGTCAACGTCTGCTCGCATTGTGCCAGGGCTTGAGGATGGCTCACCACTCGCTGAAGTTCCTTCTTTTTCACGCCGGGCACAGCCATCAGGCAGTGGTGGACAGTGAGCTGCACCTCCCCCACGATGTGCAGACGATGGCGAAGCAAAAGGTCGTAGTTCCTGTGGATGCTGCCTCCGAGTGAGTTCTCAATTGGTAACACTGCTCTGTCTGCCAACCAGAGCTCCACCGCCGAAAAAGCTGCCTCGAACTGCTCGCACGGAACAGCTTCACATCTCGGGTATGCCTTGGCTGCTGCCGCTTCACTGTAGGCGCCCGGCACTCCCTGATAGGCAACCCGCACATCTGATCCTCCTCTTGGTGGAAGAGTTAGGTCAGCAATTGACAACGGCTTCGGCAGGTGCAGGCTCACCATTTGGCTGGTCGACACCTCCATCGCCCTTCCACTCGATGGTGCTTGCATGCTGAGATCCTCCTGTTTCAGCTGCGTCGGGGAATTCCCCGCTACCAACGCATCTCCATTGCTAGCCGAACCAATCTGTGTCACCTTCTGCAGAAACGCATTCGATGCAGGCCATGCACTCGCTCTGCACACGAGTGTAGAGCTCCCAACTTCTTCCCTCCTCCCGCTTGTTCTCACGAACGGCAGTCCTTTTGGCATCGCCCTTTCCAACATCTCCCCGTTCATCGCGTTTACAAATACAGACGACTTGAAGGCGAAAGATTGATTCCCTAAGCACAACTTCAACGACATCTGTCTCCCTCAACCGCCCAAAAACTCAACAACTAATGGAACCCAAGACAAGCACGCTTTAAAGCACAGATTTCAGCTTAACAGCACTCAAATTTCTCGCAACTGCATATGCTGAACACTCCTCCTGCGATTAAGCTTCCTTCACAATAAAACACCACTCGAGAAAACTTCAACTTTCCGTCACCATAGACTGGAGAATAGAACTCTCTTATAAAACGATCTATCCCGAACGTCGTGCAGGCCAACACTCTGATCACCACCAGGCTATGGCGGAATGAGGGCAAGCAGCACAGGCGGGAAATGCAACCAACAGACACAATCGCAGGTCACACACTGAGCAAAAATATCACACTGCAATCAGAACATGAGAATTCCTGAGAGTACCCTACAGCAATCGCTCTCACTGGAACACGAATCTAGAATACGATGAAGGGCAATGGAACTTTAAGCTATGGCGCTCGCGGGTATCAGAAGTGTAGCGAGCTTGTCCCCATGGCGAGAGAGGCTGGCTGGGGGCAATGGGTTGCGAGCAGGTGCAGCGTTCCGACACATGAAGTCGCCGCCTGGTCAATCAACAGCGTGTTGTTGCAAACGGACGATTGTAAAAAAGCCGCAGTTCCATCTTGAAAAAGGTGCTAAAAATCTCTCAAGCACTGTAGACTTCTCCCACGTGGGTATTGTAAAAATAACAATAAAAGTGGGGTATGTTTTAACGCTTACGACATTCCCTCCCTCCTCCTTTTTACTCCTCGTCATGGTCAGCAACAACAGCAGTAGCGTCGTCGTGGTTGCACTCATTCACTCACTCATCCACTTACTCACTTATTCACTTACTCACTCGCGTGGCTTCCTTCCTCCGTTGCTTCCCTTGTTTGTTTTTTCCTGTTTCTCTTTCCCTTTCGCTTTCCTTCAACGTACTATTCATTCCCCACCAGTGCTTCCTCCTGCCCTGACTGCAGGATTCTCTGACTGCCGGTCAACCTCTCGTCCTGGTCTGCTTTCGTGCTTACCTGCCTGCCTCTCTTTCTCTCTCTCTCTCTGCCACTCTGCCTGCCACCCCAGTCTTCTCCTTCCTCCTCCTCGCCCCCCACTTCTCCCTTCTCCCCTCTCTCCTTCCTTTGCCTCCCCGTCTGCTCACAATGCCGGATCATGCTGCTGCTGCTGCTTTTGCTCTCCTCATCGTCGCTGAGCGAGATCGCGTCATCGACGATGAGACGCACTGCGTCAACGCTCTTCACGCCACTGCTTGTGCTCCACATACTGCATCCCATATTCTTACTTCTACGCACAAGCGAACAGTGTGGAGCAAAACTGAGTCAAACTCTTGTAATTTCTGCTTCAATCAACAATGTAGAGAAATTGTCAATAGGTCATCACAAACCATAAATTGTGCAACATAATAGTTTGAGCAAGTTATATTTTGATGGGAAATAATGTCTCTTTTGCATTAATATGTCCAAGAAAATTATATTAAATAAAAACTATTCCTTGACTCACTTTTGCATCCTCTACAAGAAAACAACTTAATAGTTTGTTTTACCTACCTTTACTAGCTAAAAACAATTTGGATTTGTTTAGGCATGCTCTCATACAACCTTCTACACTCTTCTAGTGTAATAGAAGCCCAACATTTCTTAATATGCTTCTACAACTCTAAAATTCATGTTAGAGCACTTTGATATTGATTGAGATGGCATTTTAGCCTTGCCTAAAGATGCTCAATTGAATTTAAATCAAGAAACTATACATGACACTTAAAAACATTAAACTTTTGTGATCTCAATCATTGGCTAATACTTTTTGTTGTATGTTTGGGATTGTTATCACATTGAAAAATCAAATGAAAAGAATCACAACGACAAGCCATAACAATGTATAATAAATCTCTCTACAAGTTTTCTTATATTGATTCTAAACCACTCTTTCTTCAACTCTATAAATGAGGTCAAGGCCTTGGAATGTCATACAATCCTACACCATTACTAATCCACTACCAAACTTTATTGTCTATTAAAATTTTCTTAAATTGCAAGATTGTTTATCACAAATCCAAAACTAATTACAACCATTTGAGCAAATGTCACGGACACAGAAATACAGACTCGAGATCTAACAAGAAGTTCAAGAAGAACTAACAAGAACTAGATTAATCAGATGAATACAAGAACAATACCAGAGAGATGAGCTAGAGCTCTAAGAGATGTATTGTCAAGACTGAAGAACTCTTCAGCCTCGATTCCAATATATATTCCTATTTAGGGATCTTCTCAAGCAACTTCTACCAACTAGGAAGCTTCAAGAAGGTTTCAGAGGCTTGCTTCTAGAAGGTTCTAGAAACTTGTCTCTAGAAGGTTCTAAGGACTATGTCCCTAACATCTTCTACCAACTAAGAAGCTTCTAGAAGGTTCCAAAGACTTGCTTCTAGAAGATTCTAGAAATTTGTTTCTAAAAGGTTCTAAGAATTATGTCCCTAACATCACCCCATCCTTTAGCTTCGAGGTCTCTGAGAAGCAATGTTGTTGTTAATCAGTACCAACGTAAGAAAATGAAGATCTGTCGCATAACATGTGCTATGAACTCCAACTGTTGTTCACAAGGCAAGTGGTTCATCAGCCCTTGAAGCCAACGGTAGTGACCCACTCCTTCAACTTCTGACCAAGTATGAACTTCCGTGTCCTCATTGTAAAATTATCCTACAAACACGCCTTTTGGCTAACCATCGTAAGCAGGCTCAAACTCAAATACAATCACAAGTGATCGGTTACTCGGTATCCTCCGTCATCGTCATAGTGTAGGTGGTTCTTCATCTCGGGGTCGCCTTCGTGAACTAGTCGGTTGAGATAATCTGACTGGTATAGTATCTATCTCTTGGCTATCCATATCAGAAGACCAAACTATGGCTATTGAAAAAACTCTACTTTATCTTGGAGAAAATAACTACATCAATTGCGAATTTTGGTGGTGCTCTCCCCCTTTCTTATATTCTTGGGTGAGCAAGCTTTAGAAGGAAGCTATCGTCGAACCGACTTAGGTTTATGAGGATGTTGTTGATAAAACTCCTATACCTTTTGCGACGCATTGGTGAGATTTTTAATTGGCTCCCACGTTTGTTCATTAATGTCGTAGCCGCTCCAATGAACAAGATACTCCAACTTGCCCCACCTTCGCCGTGAATCCAACACCTTTTCAACCTCGTATTCCTCGTGGTTCTCGATCTCAATACTAGGTGGCGGACATTGGACTCTTCAAGGAAAAGACAACTCTCGATAAGGTTTCAATAGAGAAACATGAAAGACTGGATGTACCTTCATAGAAGTCGGTAATTCCAAATGGTACGCCACTGGATTGATTTGCTTCTGAATGATAAATGGTCCCAATCTTCGATAGTCTAACTTATCACATGGTCGCTTAGTCTTGATATTCCGTCGAAGAAGCCATGCTTTATCTCCAATTTTGAAAGTAGGTGCTTGATTCCAAAATCTATCTGCAAACGCTTTGTAGGATTCTTGAGCGGATTGTAATTGAAGCTTCAACGTATTTTGAAGCTTTGATAGTTGTTTTACAAATCCTTCAGCTGCTGGATTGTTATTTGTTGACGGACTCAATAAATCAAGCTTTGGATGATATCGAAAGTTGGAAAAGAATAGTGTGTATTGAGTCGACGCAAGGAGGGTGTTGTTATATGTAAACTCGGCCAGCGGCAGATATGTGGTCCAATCGTCTTGCTGATAGTTGATGCTGCATCATAAGTATTGTTCCAAGACTTAGTTCACCCGTTCCGTTTGGCCGTCAATTTGAGGATGAAAAGCCGAAGAAAGCTTGATATCCACCTTCAGTATCTCAAAAAGAGATCTCCAAAACTTTGATACGAACTGGGTTCCTCGATCTGATACGATATCATCTGGTAGTCCATGATATCGATACACATTATCGAGAAAGAGCCTTGCTGTGACTTCACTAGACAATGTCTTTTTGCAAGGGACAAAGTGCGCCATCTTTGTAAGCCGATCTATCACGACAAAGATGCTGTCAAATGAATTTGATGATGGTAGGTCCGTGATAAAGTCCATGGAAACTGAAGACCATGGTCGACGTGGAATCGGCAATGGCTGTAGAAGTCCATAAGGGCGATGTTGAGGATTCTTCGATCTTGAACAGATGTCGCAGGAGAGGACAAAATCTTTCACATCCTTCCACATTTGGAGCCACCAAAAATCTCAAGAAATAAGCTCCAAGGTCTTGTTGAATCCAAAATATCCCGCAGTTAGAAAATCGTGGCGAGATTGAAGAACTCGGAGTTGTGCTGGTGTCAAGGACAAAGACTCGATGAGGAAAAATATACACAAAAAGGCTATCTCGATATAATAAGTCAAAATATAAACAAGTAGGTATATTCAAAGGAAACTGGAATGGCTATTGCCACAAGACAAGAAACTAAAGACTCTTAAACCTGGACTAGAAGCAAGAAAGGAGTTGACAAGAGTGAAGAAGCCTTCACTCTTGTCTCTATATATACTATCTAACTAGGGGCTACGTGGCGACGTTCTATAGGACCTCCAATATGTGTTGACTTTGTAGGACACATGCCTTGACTTACAAGGCAAGTTTTTCTACGTGTGGGCCACATAGTTAACTTGATCTTCAAGCTAACAACATGTGTGGCACATGGCCAACTTGTTGACCACGTTTCTAATCCAAAAAGTCAATTAAAGACACCTATGAAGTCAAAGCAGCGTCTAAGAAGTTTCTAGGAAGCTTCTATATTAAATATTATAGAATTAACTTACTTTTATCTACTTTTACTTACTTCTACCTACTTTTATATGTAATTATTAGCTTATATGATTATGGCCGTGACATTACCCCCCCTTCTAGAGACGAGTTCCACGAGGAGCGGTCATCATATGTTGAGAAAATCTATGATGCGACGAATTGTATTCGCCACATACTCTGATCTCTGTTCTCTTCGAAGATGATTGATAGGGCCTTTCAATCATCGGTAGTGTCCCATACCAGGGCGGGAAGACCACCCAATTATTTGATCATTGTTGAGGCCTTCGTAACTTCCTTCGAATAGAATATTTGGAACACCATCAGGAGTTGTTCCTACCTCTAGCAAAATCACCAAACATCGAGAGTCCCTTCCCAAATCGTGATACCAAACGCGTTGTATCTCACCATCTATTCGAGGAAGAACATGTCGTTCTTGAAGATCTTCATCTCGATTACGTCGTCTTGAAGGTTGTGACAATTGTAATGTCTCATCCGACAAATCAGCAAACGAAGGTTCTTGAGTTGAATCCGCTTGTTGTTGGCTCTCCATCTAATTAGCGTCACAAATGCAAAGAAGTTACAAACAAGGATAGGAAATTGAATGTTATCTTGCCTCAATCTTGTCTCTTTTATAAGAGAGATTTTCATCTTGGTTTCGATGGATGTCGTTGATGAAAAACTTTGACTTTAGCTGATGCATTTGCTAGATTACTAGATGGCTCCCATGTGCGTTCACTAATATCATATCCGCGCCAATGAACAAGATATTTCAGCTTATTTCGGCGCCGCCTTGAGTCTAATATCTC